TCGCGCTCCATGGCTTCTCATACAGCCACACTACTGGCCCTTAGTCTGCTGACTCTGGGGCCCTCCCCTGGTAAGGCTGAGGGGAGCCTGGGGGACAGTGTGGGAGAGAGGGGAGGGGGGACTAGAGCTCAGACTTCCTGGGACTGGATGTGAGGGACACGAGTTAGGTCTCCATGTGTCGGTGAACCTGGGGGTCCCCGTGCCCTATGAGTGTAGGTGTACTGGGCTCTGAATTCTGATGTATCTTTTAGTGTGTTCCAGGGGCTGTAGCTGCCCTTCTCTCTGCAGGCTCTTTTCTGTTGCCTCAGATTCCAAGGCAGATTCCAAGGCAGTTGTATGTTGCCACAACATACATATGCTACAGTGGGAGGGGTGGGGAGAATGGGAGGTTAAAGACTAGGCATTAAACTCTTAACTCTTCAAAAGGCCCTGACACCTGTCTCCTGTCACCCTAACACCCAAGCCTACTGATACTCATGCTGTAACCAATATTAACTATTCATTTGTGGGGAACTGGAGAGCTCTGGTGAAAGAAGCTGGGGTGATCTGGCAGCAGGAACCATATGTGGTGCTCATAGAGGTGGCCATTTACTGCAAGGCTTACAAATACCTCAATACATTTGGCAACCAGCAGGGTCTCATTAGCGCACACTGGTGTAGCAGCCTCCACACACACACACACTTGAGCAGAGTTGTTCTTAATCCCAGTGAGGCCGCACCTCCCTCCTGGGCCCCCTGTGCTCAGCCCACCTTCTTTCTGTTCCCTACCCCAGCTCTGGGGGGCGCCAACGACGCCGAGGACTGCTGCCTGTCTGTGACCCAGCGCCCCATCCCCGGGTACATTGTGCGTGCCTTCCGCCTCCTGCTCATCAAGGATGGCTGCAGAGTGCCTGCCGTGGTGTGAGTTATGGGGGGCAGCACATCAACCAACTCTCCTCTCTCCACTCAGTCCCTGGCTGTACCCCCACCTGCTTACCTCTCTTCTCGCCAAGTCCAGCCCCTTCAGCTAAGTCCCTGAAACAGGCTCCCACATATGGACCCCAGCCTCTGCCCACAAAACTGGGTTCCTATGCTCCATCCACTCTGCTCTCTACTCCAGGTTCACCACACTGAGAGATCGTCAGCTCTGTGCACCCCCAGACCAGCCCTGGGTGAACCGCATCATCCGGAGACTGCAGAAGAACTCTGCCAAGGCAAGTCTGACCTGCCCAGCCCTGTTTCCTCCCTCTGAAACCCTGATCAAGATCCCAGCTCATGACTTGGTATGACCTTCCTCCCCCAGAACAAACAGCACAGCAGTTAACCCAGGACCATCGAGAAGGAGCCTTGTGTCTGAGTGAAGGGATGAGCATCCCCAGGCCCTGAGGAACCAAGGGCCCAAAAGAGGACCAGCCCTCCAGCTCCCCTGCCCCAGCCCTGAGCCAGCGGGGTTCATTGTAGTGTGAACAGAAAAGCAGCACAGATTCTCACTGCCCAGACTGCAATGCTTCTAATAAAACCCACTCACCTAAGACCTGTGCGCTGCGTGTGTGATGTGTGTCCAGGACGACTGGCACAGGGAAGGACAATGGGACAGCAGCATATATTTTCCACCCTGCAGCCTGAACAATCTCCTCACCTACCTCCGCCTAATACCGTGTTCTCACCTTCAGCCCCCACAGTCAGGGCCCAGCCTCACCTCTCCTCAGAGCCCTGTCATGCTCCATGGTTCAGTGACAATTCACTGAATAAGACAAACTCTCCCATGCCTCTCAGATTTTGCTCTCCAGGGCAGGTGTTCAAGCATCCAGGTGTCTCAGGGATCAGGTGTCACTGTGAGGAAGGTAGCTGTGGCAAACCCACTCTCGTGTGGCTGGGGGAGACAGGCTACCATCCACCTCGAATGCCTGGGGAAAGTACCCATCCATCGTCCATGCTGCTCCCTCTGTCTGCAGCACCTGGCTTCCCA